TATTAAATTAAAATATTTTTACACAAGTTAATTTTCAATGATAAAAGAAATAGTATATAACTATTTACGTTCCAAAATTTTTTTATTAAAATCAAAATTTAAAATATATTCAGAAATTCTATCTCTAAATTAAAAACAATTATTGAAAACAGATATTAAATTGGAATTTATAGAATTTCAATTTTTTTTTAATTCAAATCATCATTGTTTCCAGATGAAGTGATACCAGTGCAACCAGATAAGATCAAAGATCTTACCGAGGAGGATGATGAATGTGAAGTGTACGAGGATGAAGACTTTGTGACTGTCTCATCTAGTCTTGCACTTAGCGTAAGTGAAACTCATTTGTAATTAATCAAAACCTAGTCCCATAACAACTTCTCTTAATATTACATTTCATCTTCCTAGATGCAGAAATTAATCTCTTCTATTCCTTAAAATTGATTATTATTTCTTAATTAAGTTTTAAAATTAATTTCTAAAATTTCTAATAAATTTTTTAATTTTCTTTTTTAATATATTTTCTCTAAGTTTATTTTTGTAATTAAATTTTTAAATTTAAATCACAGTACTTATTTACTTTATAGGATAAATCCAGCAAAATGTCAGATCTCACCGAGGCAACTCCCCTAAGTTCACCAAACACAGACGATTCTACCGGAAACGATATGGACGATTTAATGCTTAACGATGATGGTGCCACTCGAGGCGATATATCTCCTAGAGAAATGGAAAATGGCGAAGGAAGCGGAACAGATTTCACCGATACATTCTTCTATACTTATACATCGGAATTTGAATCAACATTCGAAGGAAGTGGAACCAATGAAATCACAGAAGAAAACGAATTGTTTACGACAGAATCTGGAATCACGGAAACTGATGTTACCGAGGAGACTGTCGAGGGATCCACCATGGATTCCACTGATGAATCGTCTGTGGAATCGATGACGCAAGAAACTCTGGCATCTGGACGTGAGTTTATTTAATTTTATTTTTGGAAACGTTGTAGATTAAAGATATTAGTTAAATCGCAATTTTCATATAATTTTTTAATTTCATAATATTATTAAAAACTTATCGTGAATTTGAAACGAATTTAACAATAAGAATTTCATAAAAAATATTTCATTTTAAAAAATATAACAATTATGTAATTTTGCAATATTATTTAATATAGAAACAGATATAACAACTGAATCAGGCGCAACCGAAGCAACAGTTTCTTCTGATAGCGGAGCAACTGAAGCCACATCAATGACAGAATCTATGGAGACTGAAGATACTGGACCATCAGAATCCACTGAATCAGGTCCAACAACCTTTTCATCGGAAATTGAAAGCACAGTTACGGAACAAGAAATGACTGAAGAATCTGTATCAACAGATATAAAACCTGATGACACAGATAAGACTACAGAAACAAGTGCCACTGAGGAAACTACTGAATCAGGATCCACAGAACCAACAATTTCGACAGAATCAGGAGCGACAGAAGAAAGTACAGAATCTGGAGTCACAACAGAATCTGGAGCCACAACAGAATCTGGAGCCACAACAGAATCTGGAGCCACAACAGA